TTTTTTTTTTTTTTAAACCTATTGCTGAACTGTCAAATAATTAGTTAACAGCAACACTGTTTCATATTGTACAAGCTTGCTGCAAATACAACCACTGGCTGTGTAAAGCACCATATCTCTCGTCACATAAACATATGGTTGCTTTCCCCGCTCATTATCAACATGCAGTATTAAAAACATGCAGTGTTTCCTGGGGGATGGGCCTGATACAGCCACACATATTCAGTAACACTGTATATGTGCGCTCGAGTTTCAAATGCACCCTATACAGGACCTCTTGTGCTGTGCAGATACTGATTTCTTTGCTATTTCTGGAAATTATGTGTGTGCTGACACACTCGGTATTCTGCTTTTAATCATGGACAATATCTAATAGACACAAAGACAACACTTGTTAGGCTCACAGAGATGGTAGCAGACCTGAAGTAACCTCCGGGCAAACACTTCACACAAGCCCTTAAAAGTGTGTCACTTTGAATTATTCATTCACTATTTTGTTATGTTGGAGATTTGTCCTTCCTCTGTGACTTGCACACATCAGGTATCCGTTCTGTTGATCTATTATATTGAAAAGCTTCATAAATGTGCACCTGGAGTGATGGGACTGAGGTTTTAAGAGATTTTCAGGGTAAAGATCAATTGAGTTGAGAGGATATGGCCTTGAAGCATCACAGGAAGGCTTAATCATATTGATGGTGTGTGGCTGGCAGACCAGAACCTGGAATAGCTCTGACTTGCCATCCATGAATTGGCAGAAAATAGCAGAAGCAATAAAAAAAGGTAATGTTCCTCTGTTGTTTTTGTTTCAAGCTATCAATCAGACTTGGTTTTTTAAGATGCAAAACATGCTTTTTAGGGTGTTCTCAGATTTAAATAATTAACAATGTTTAATAATGTTTTGTATTTCATTTGTATTCTCAAGATTTTTTATTTGCTGAAATGCTTCTAAATCAGGGCACAACAATTTTGAGAAATATTCAAGCAAGTTTTTTTGTCACTACATCTCATGTATATTCTCATGTATACTCATGATCATGTATTACATTTAGTCATTTAGCAGACGCTTTTATCCAAAGCGACTTACAAATGATGACAATAGGATCAAAATCAACAAAAGATCAATAATATGCAAGTGCTATGACAAGTCTCGGTTTAGCCTAACGCAGTACACGTAGCAAGGTTTATATATATATATATATATATATGGTTTGGGATCAGAATGATTTTACGGGAGTTTCGTATGCTCATCAAGGCAGCATTTATTTGATAAAAAATACAGGGAAAAAAATGTATATTGTGAAATATTATTATGATGTAAAATAACGTTTTTCTATTTTAATATACATTAAAATCTAATTTATTCCTGTGATGCAAAGCTGAATTTTCAGCATCATTACTCCAGTCTTCAGTGTCACATGATCCTTCAGAAATCATTCTAATATGCTGATTTATTATCAGTGCTGGAAACTGTTGTGCTGCTTAATATTTTTTTGGAACCTGTGATACTTTTTTCAGGATTCTTTGATGAATAACAAGTTAAAAAGAAGACACTACAGTTCAAAAGTTTGGGGTCAGTAAATGTTTACTCTTTCTTTTTTTAGAAAGAAATTAAAACTTTTATTCAGCAAGGATGTGTTAAATCAAAGATTTATATTATGTGTGTGTGTGTGTGTGTGTGTGTGTGTGTTCACGGTGTGTGTGTGTGTGTGTGTGTTCACAGCTGTGTGTGTGCACTTAGGATGGGATAAATGCAGTGCACTAATTCCGAGTATGGGTCACCATACTTGGCCACATGTCACAATCACTTTCACTTTCAGAGTGCAAGTGTTAGAGGGTCAAGTCAACAAATAGAATTCGAATTAGAGGGTCAAATGAAGATGGAAGAGATGTTGTTTTTAGCTGTTTCTTAAAGATGTATATGTGCTTTTAAACCAATATAAAATATGAAAAATATTTGTAACATTATCAAGAAATAAAAAAATAAATGAAAATGAATACATTAAAATAATATATACAGACAAAAATAAATGTAAGAAAAAAATCATTTCAATACATTGTTATAGAAATAAGTAGTCAATGCATGATGTGTCCATGAACATTTTCCCCCATCAAAATAAAGATTTTAGCTTAAATTGTAAATAATATAAGGGAAACTATACGCCTTCATGTAACTGGTCTCAATTTCCTAGGGTTTCACCACTTTAATCACATTTTTGCCTTCACTAGTTAATTTTAAAAAAATTACCCTTTTAAGTTTTTTTTTCTCTCAATTAATATAGCTACATGAATGAAAAAAAATCTCAAAACCAGAGCTACTACTACTACCAAGTAGTACTTAGTACTAAGTAGTAGTAGTATTCTTAATGATAATTATAATTCTACAAGTAATTCAGTGCTGCTTAAAATATTTTAAATAGGATTTATATGTTTAAAATTTGGTTCTAAATTTAGCGGGACAAAACGCACATTTTCCTCATTAGGTAATTTATCTTTTTTTTCTTTTGTAGGTTTGGTATTTTCTAGAAACAAGAAATATTATCTCAAACCCTTTACTATGAGCTTTCTGTCTCTCACTTTCAACCCAAAACGTCCCGTTGACTGCATTCGTTGTGAGGGGGGGTTGAAGATGTGCAACCCTGAAAAGGCCCCTCAAGTCGTCATGTTTCAGTTATACAGACGTCAGGAAGGCGTGGCCAGGGCCTCACCTCCAGCGCTGGCCAATCAGAGCGCAGCCGGCTTCCCTTGAAAGCCTCTTGGGCTGCGGATATAAAACCTCCGCGGCGGGCTGATGCAATACTGGAAGAGTTTTGCCTTCACTAGTTAATTTTAAAAAAATTACCCTTTTAAGTTTTTTTTTCTCTCAATTAATATAGCTACATGAATGAAAAAAAATCTCAAAACCAGAGCTACTACTACTACTAAGTAGTAGTAGTAGTATTCTTAATGATAATTATAATTCTACAAGTAATTCAGTGCTGCTTAAAATATTTTAAATAGGATTTATATGTTTAAAATTTGGTTCTAAATTTAGCGGGACAAAACGCACATTTTCCTCATTAGGTAATTTATCTTTTTTTTCTTTTGTAGGTTTGGTATTTTCTAGAAACAAGAAATATTATCTCAAACCCTTTACTATGAGCTTTCTGTCTCTCACTTTCAACCCAAAACGTCCCGTTGACTGCATTCGTTGTGAGGGGGGGTTGAAGATGTGCAACCCTGAAAAGGCCCCTCAAGTCGTCATGTTTCACTTCTACAGACGTCAGGAAGGCGTGGCCAGGGCCTCACCTCCAGCGCTGGCCAATCAGAGCGCAGCCGGCTTCTCTTGAAAGCCTCTTGGGCTGCAGATATAAAACCTCCGCTGCGGGCTGATGCAATACTGGAAGAGTCTGAATGAAGCACCAGTGAAAGCTGCTCACGTCGCCCAGAAAAACACGGTTTCTGCCTAATCTCTGAATCTTATTCTAGTCAATAGGTGAGTGAATTCGTTTACTGAAATCGATTGCATTTTGCTTAAAATTGATTACAAATAGAACCTTATCTGAACGCTGGCTTCCCATGGCCTTGTCTGGAAAGATAAAAATGCATGATAGTTTATTTTTCACTTTCACAACCTTATCGCTTTTTACTTCTCAATCAAATTACTTTGTCCTAAAGCATTCCGTTAAATATCTGTGATTTTAGGCCAATGAAGCTCAAGACGTGGTTATCTTGTATAACGTTACCTCTTCCTCATTTTGTCACTTTGCCGAAAATACAAGACTTCCCTTTAGTGTTTCATAAAATACGGTAGTTCGTGTGAAACAAAGTGTCGAAATCCTGATAACGTGACCGTTATTTTAAGGTGTTCGTTCATAGGGTGTAGTTAGTCGTCGTGAGCACGTTTACTCGAGTTCTTCTAGAGCCGCTAATGTTAGTCTGCCAGCAGAAGTCTTGCACACCGCTTCAGTCGTACCGATGGTTTTAACCCTGGGTTAAACGTGTCATTTTAAAACACGGTTGTCACTTCTTCTGAATAGCTTGTAAAACTACTTGGCCGAATTGCAGTGCTAAAGGTGCAAGATTACAGCGAGTTGTTTAGCAACAGACAACCAATCATGAGCTCCCTCTGTGCTTATCTCATTAAATATTCATGAGCTTTGACACGAAGAAGTCTACAAGTATGTAGAAAACGGATAAAAATGTAGACGAGAGGCAGCACAAGGGTTAACTGGGTTATAATAAAAAGTCCATATTGTATTTGCTTTAAGTTATGCTCATATTTCAAGTGACCAGAGCGGGTCTACGTGGCCACTTTTGGCCACAGATGGACAAGCATGTATTAAAACGGGCCGTGTACCGTATTACCCTAAGTTAGAAGGTTAATACGGGGCTTACAAATATGCAGTGTGAAATTTCGAAACACGTCTACCAAAAATTAATTACTAACCCGGGATAGCGTATGAACTGTGAACGTGGAACAAGACAACCCAGCATTGCGTCCCAGGCTTTGCAATCTGAAAAAAAGCCTTTGGAAACTAGTTTAAACTGATCTAAATTCCCAGAAGTCTGACTGACCGTAAAGTTCAAGATCAAACCGGCTTGGATTGTGCGTTAGGTTATTGTGAAGCAAAAAAACAGGGGACACGAACAGAACAGTCCGCACAGACTTGGCACAATGAAGCCTTTGGAAGTCGGATTGAAGGATGTGTTCGGCATCTTGCCACGGTACTCGCGTGCTGATTGGCTGCCGACGAAGGCAGGGCAGTATAAATACGCTCATATTACATTCTTCGTTCCTTTCGTGCCTTTACATTTGCAAGGTAAGAAAGTTCGGCGATGACAGCCTGGAAAGTAATTGTTTTTTCCGGTTTACTGTACGAATTTAACAGAAGGATGAACTTTGAGGCGCCTTACATTAGGTTTAGTTCATTAAAGTTTGTTTAGCTGTCAGTGTAATTTACGAGCGTCGCTGCACTGAGCTAGTATTTCTATCAAATAGAAAATTGTATATAGTGTTTACTGTAATGTTATAAAGCATTTATTTGTCTAGATCTTTCCATAAAATAGCCTTTGATAACATTAGCTTTTGATTCTGATACGGCACTAAATATAAGTTAATAAATTCATTCTAAATCTATTTTTTTTCTGTAGGACTACACAACATCCTAGACATTGCAGCAGAACATGGGCTTCGGCTCTTTGTGCCCAGTACAATTGGTGCCTTCGGACCAACTTCACCTCGAAATCCCACTCCTGACCTTTGTGTGCAGAGACCACGCACTATATATGGCGTCTCTAAAGTCCATGCAGAGCTTATGGGGGAGGTAAGACACCAGTCACCATTTTTTGAGTATTTTCACCTATTTTCTGTGCCGTATGGAATATTAATCTTTACCCATGATCCTTTTCTGCAGTACTACCACCACCGATATGGCCTTGACTTCCGCTGTCTGCGGTACCCTGGCATCATCTCTGCAGACTCACAGCCCGGCGGTGGCACGACAGGTACGGTGCACTCTGCTCCATCTGTGTTTTTTGGCACATGACCTTGCTCACGTACGTAAGTGAAGTTATGCAACTGGCACTTGCTCAGAAAGGGGTGTTGTTCGCTTTGAGTATTTTTAGATAAACCGATAGCCTGCACCAATGCCGACCAGCCATATAAACAACACCTCCAGTCACATGTAAAAACCTGAAAAGTACTTCGACAGCTGTTACTGTCATACTGTTGCATGTGGTAGAAGAGACTGCTGACCAAAAAAACAGCAATGAGTCCTAAAAGTCTGTCTCTATTGGCTTTTCCAGACTACGCCGTGCAGATTTTCCACGATGCTGTCAAGACCAGCAAGTTTGAGTGCAACTTAAAACCAGACACACGGCTGCCCATGATGTACATTGATGACTGTTTGCGGGCCACCCTGGAGGTGATGGAGGCGCCGGCGGAATCGCTCAGTATGCGCACCTACAACATCAATGCCATGAGCTTCACTCCAGAGGAACTTGCAAACGAGGTCCAAAAACAGCTGCCTGATCTTCAGGTCACATATGAGATTGACTCTGTACGACAGGCTATAGGTATGATCCAAAACATCTGCACTTTCCTCAAACATTTTGGTACAAATCAATGGTGCAAATCGTTCAAAAACGTTTGTTTTTTCCATCCGTATAGCTGACAGTTGGCCCATGAACTTTGATGACAGCAACGCACGCAATGACTGGGGCTGGAAGCACGACTATGATCTGCCAGAGTTGGTCCAGACGATGCTCAACTTCATCGGCTCAGACTCCCGCATTGCCCAGGCTAACTGAGGCTGCTCATGAACATTGAAAATCTGTATATTTCATAAAGATTTATAGTGACGCAGAAGAGAGATCCGTGGTCTGTAAATAGTCGTATTCCTTTTCTCTTTTGTGTCATCTGTATATTCCGTTTGACTAGCACAGACTATATGTATAATTGCAAATTATACAAAGAGGTCAAGTCTCTTTTCAAGTCAGGGTTGAAAACCGTCAGAGTTAGGTATTTTGAAAGCTAAATGAAAGGAATGGGTTTAAACCTGACGTGATCCTCTTGTGCTTCACATTTAGTGAAAAAGGATAATTATGTCTCCAGGAAAAATAAACCAAAAAAACATGAATGTCCAAAAATGAACATGGCAGATCCTAAAATGTAGCTTCCCAAATTTTACTATCTTTCTGAATTTTTTTTTTTAAAGATAAATAATTTTACTGTACTTTTTGTAGAAGAACATAATATATGAGGGAAAAGGCTGATGGCCGAGTTCAGACTAATAGGAATGAAAGCTAGGAATTGTTAAAGCAGCTTCAACCCATTCTAAAATAAACAGACAAAGATTCTGGTTTAAACAGGGTGGGACTCAGATGTAGGTCCTCAGGGAAAGTGAGGGTCATCATGAATGACGTTATCGTATCCCTTTTGGTTGCTTTTCCTCTCTTGTGCACTATCTATTTATTCAGACTGCTCGCAAATGAAATGCAAGATGTGGTCTTGCTTCACATGTGTGCTGTATACTTTAATAAGGTCTTTTTTTTTTTAAATGCAATTTTTGTCATATATTGCATTTGCCCGTAAACGTTTTCCCACAGAGAATATATTATCCCGTATGAAAGGGGAGAGTGGGAAGCAAATTTAAATTATTTGTAGTTAAGCTTTGCATCCACATCTTTTGATCACAAAACTTGTGTCAATAAAGCTTTTTTATCTGTAACATTTTGCATTGTCGTTCATTTGAAACATAATTAACTAGTTATTTGAGTGCAATAGACTGAGATTTAAAAAAATACCTTAACATTTTTAAGTAAAGTAGGATGGAGCTGTCATGGTATTTTTTTATTTTTTTATTTATCTTAGCTTGTTAAATATTACCCACTTGACTTCAGTGCCACCAGTCATTAAAACGTTTATTTATAACTTTTGTGGGAAATATGATTATCGATTTGATGGCAGTCTCTCTGGCAGCTATAATGACTGTACAAGAGCTGCACCGTCTTGTCACTTTTGATCATAATGCATTGATTTAAGACTAATCTCCCTAAATTATCGCAGAACCATTTCTGAGTCGTTTTCCTTATCCGCAGCAATGCCTTGGCATGTTTTTATTGGAGTTGTGCCAAATAAACATTTCAGTTGCGTTCGACCAAGTTTCCTTTTATTTAGATTACAAATACACTTTAAACGCAGGTTATATAACACCCGTTTGTACAATATCCAGTAACAAACGATTTATCATTCTTTCATAAAGTAGGGTAATAATATGGGCGGCAGTTATCTGATAAATTGGTTATGTAAGTACTTGGCAAAGGCAGACTAACTGTAGGTTGTGTTACGCCAGAAGATACACTTACCAGGTTTGCTTGAATAATTAGATGTGCCTTCTTAAAGTTTTGTGGTCATTGTCATAAGATTCATTTTGTCTCTAGCTCGAACACTGCAAACACCGAAAAAAGAGATTACAAAGCGTGGGTTTTGTGGCGGGGTTCTTGGCAAAGGAACCTTTTTGCCACTTGTAATACGAGAGTCAGACGAGTTTCAGTTGAGGACAGTTTAATCTGTCAGCAGTTCTTCCAAATGAAATGCTACCTCAGGTAAAGTATGATGATGTGATCTGTGAACACGAATAGCGTTGTTCGTCGGCACTGTTGCTCAATGTGAGAGATGGTGTGATTTAAAGTAGTTTAGTGGTGTGCCACAAAAATGTCCCCGGACAGGTTTACAGTTGAAGTGATTCATTTTCTTAAAAAAAATAAAAAAATAAATCGCGTAGCCTAATAAGAGTATTTAAATGCATTACTTTAAGTGGTCATTTTCCTTCTTCTGTCTGTGTTATACTTGCTCGGGAAGCAAATCACTGTTGTTTGTATTTCCATCATTTCATAACGCTCCAGCATTTCATAACGTGTTTGTAGAATGTAGAGGCTGTCGCACATCACATTGTCTGGAATCCTCACTGGTATGAGGCATGCATTTAAACAAACATTGACCTCTACTTGACCACCAAAGACGACACCAAACTGTGAAGAAATGCAAAGCCCAGTCTATGGAAATATGTGCAGTTGTACATAGCCAGGAAGATATTAACAACTGACACACTTATACCGTTTAGGTGTTACCTTATAGTCAAATAATCTGAATAAAATAAAATCAATTTAATCTATTTATTATTATTATTATTATTATTAAATAATTAACAGAAAAATACAAATATGACAGTTTGAGTGGTTTTGACAACACACACACACACACACACACAATCTAAATATATATGCTAGAAGATTTAACAGGATTTCAAAAAGTTTGATCTTTTTTCTTCAATAAATTTTCTTCACTTCTTACAATAACTTACAACAAGGTTTAATGGCTAAGACTGACTAATTTGTGTTAAAAGCTTACAAAGTTGTGTTAAATTTGTGTACAATTACATATACATGTGTTTTTTTCTGGTTTTATTCAAGTAATATAGAGAAATATGACCAATTATGTGGGATAAAACAAGTGATTAGCTCTTAAAAACCTGAAAACAATTAGTTGGGTTTGTACTGTAAAACCTTCCAACTTCCCAACATCTACCCCTATAAGAGGAGAACGCAATCTATATAAATGTCATGCAAACATTACATAACACATTTGCATGCCCGCTCATATGACAGCATAACCTCCTCCCACTCGTTCTTCTCAGGTGATACTCTTGTCCCAGTTCACGAAACCCCTGTTGAGCTTCCCAGAACCGAGCAATGAAGTTCAAATGAAGTGCCTGCTTTCTTCTGTATGGTGTGTCATGTTGTATAAGCATTCATTGCATGAACACACCTCTCCACCAATACCAGAAGCAGGAGTGTGTCAACATGCTGTGTGAATATTGAATATCAGAGCTGGCAGTCTGTCTGTCTGAGTGAAGGTCGGTATATAAACAAACAAGCACCGTCAGTTCCTTGAAGAGGGAAGTGCCAAAAAATGCTGTGTTGCAGCTGTCTCGTGGTTGCCTGTTGCTATGAAAACACATAGCAATCATCATCAAAAACCAAGGACTTACATACTGCTATGGTCTTTTTGAATGAAAAACTCAAACACATGAATACACTCTAAAAAATGCTGGGTTAAATACAACCCAATTGCTGGGTTTGTCCCTATTTTACCCAGCACTGGGTTGTATTTAACCCAGCATTTTTTAGAGTGTACACTCTTAAAAATAAAGATATTGGCATTTATGGTTCCACAGAGAACCTCTAACATCCATGGAACCTTTCTATTGCACAAAAGGTCCTTTATAGTGTAAACAGGTTCTTGATATTATTAAAATGTTCTTCACACTTAGAAAATGGTTCTCTGTTCACTGGAACTGTTCACTGAAAGCTTCCTTGTTGAACAAAATAAATAAATAAATAAATAAAAATGTGAAATAAAGTGTTGCTAAACTCATATCAAGTTTAAAAGTCTGATTTGAGTGATTTTACAGCAATACACATTAAATAAAACTAAAACTAAAATAAACTAAAGTAAAAATGCTAGAATAAGTAACTTAATTTAATTCTAAATTAAGCTGACAGGCTAAAGGGGCTATAGTTTAGGAACAAATATTGGTATATATTTTCTGTAGATTAAAGAAAAATATTTCACATAAAAAATAAATTAAATGTAATTTCTATATTTTTTAAAATATATATACATATTTTCTTTTATTTTTAAACGTACAATAACTACAATTTGTGTACAAATTTTAAAAAGTGAAATTAGTTTATTTACTTGATTATTTTATCAAACATTTTTGCTAAAAAACAGACGTGTTTAAAATAAGCTACTTTTCATGATAGGTTGTATGTTAGATAATATTTTATTTAACACATCTAATACACTGTAAAAGTTGAAAAAAAAAAAGAATATTGGAGGATTTTTTTTACAGGAAAATACTATTTCTGTCTTTCTACTTCAAATTTTGTGAATTGTAAAATTTACTAGCAGAGTTGTTACTAGAGAGTTGTTTTACATGAAAAAGGTTCTGTGTAGTTATCACAGAAAACAAAAACAAACAAATAAACAAAATGAACAAACATGGGATTTGTGTCTCTAATGCTTTTTTAAAAAAGCCATGGGACACCAAAGTGTATTGTATTAAGTGCCTCTGGTATTATCAGATAAATACCATCAAAACCATCAAAATTCCAGCACATCCCTTTCTTGCCAATTGAGTGATTACTAATGGCAATTCAATCTGTGACATTTTCACCTCAGCGGTTGTGCAGCGTACAGCAGGATCAATGACCAGTGAGATGGGAATTCAATAAGACATCAGCAGCATTACTCACTCAGACTCTTCTCCTTTCACTGTATATCACCACAGACAGCGGATGAACTCTTCAACCTCGAGCTAAAGATCAGCCTTCACCTCCGTAATGACATGCTTCCCATTGCAGCGAAATTATGCGTTATGTCCAAGTTGGGATCATAAAATCTCAGTCTTGTGAGAATGGATTTCAAATTCACACGTAAAGAATTTTGACAGGATATGATAGATTTCCTTATAGATTTAAGTCGGCACTATTATTTTATTATTTTCACCCCCAGACCTTTTCCTCACACCTCACTGTGTTCATGAAAGGAATCTCAGGTAATTATTATTGTAGTTAGTTTGTTTCTGAAACTTAAACACACACCATTAGAGGACAAGCAATTTGGAAGTAATTATAGTCTCATGATGATATTTATGGCTGATTATATTTTTTCTCTGCAAGTTAGACAAATGTAGTGAAAATACAGCTGTGCAAAGCACAAATAAGAGTTCCTTTTTGTCAGACTTAGGTAGGACTCGATTACCTTTAAGTATGTTTATATGTAATTTAATTATTCTATTGAAATATGGTTAAAGTGCTCAGTGTAGTGACAAGCATTTATGGTAAACAAAAATATAAATATGTAATTTCTCCTTCGAATGTTATATAAAGTATTTAAATATATTTGTAATTACACATTTGTAATGACGAAGTTACAATTTATTACATTTGATCAAACAGTATGTGAACTTTACTTTGAATGCATTGAAATAACACACCAAAGTTCAAATGAATCAAATATTTTACGTTTTAGTATGTTAGTCACATCAAAATAGTGTCTTTAAAGCACAGCAAAAGATTATTATAAGTGATAACATAATGATTTAAAGTGTACTTTAATGATTTTAATTGCCATTATTACAAAGAACACAAAAGAAGACATTTTGAAGAATATGGACCCCACTGACTTCCATAGTATTTTTTCCCATACTGTGGAAGTCAATGGATACTGTCAACTGTTTGGTTACCAACAGTCTTCAAAATATCTTCTTTTGTGTTCAACAGAAGAAAGAAACTCATACAGGATTGGGTGAGTAAATTATGACAGAATTTTCATTTTTGGGTGAACTGTTAAAAGACAGTCAAGTGTACTCTAGGCCTTAGGCAGCCTTTTATTTCTTGGCCTTTTATTAATCTGCGGTTTTATTTTTCATAAGGGTATCTTGGCTAACACTGCACGCAAATCTGATTCCATTTTCGAATC